AGTAGTAGTAGTAGTAGTAGTAATAATAATAATAATAATAATTCAGTGGAGATTAAGTGCACGCTCAAACAACATCAGCTGAAGTGGGAAACCAGCAACAGTAATAATTTAGGGGTGGAATGTATCTATTTTTACAAAACTGCTCTGCTTTTTCAAGTTTAAAAAGTTGGACTGGTTCCAGTACTAAAACTATCTTATTAATTCCAGGGATATTACCTGTTTATTAATTTATATTCTAATGACTTCCAAAGAAAAATACAACCATAGTTGCTACATTTTTTCTATTATTTTGGAGGAATATTTATCTGCATGGGTGGCTGGCAAGCACTAAGTGCAGAGTCCAATTACCATACTGGGAATTTGTACAGTTTGTCCAAAGGTTTTATTCTTAGTATTGCAGAGAAAAAGGGAGAGCTAGGTTCATTCATACATAAACATGACCAGGGAATAAATCACCCTCTTTCCTCAAGGAATCTTGCAAATTTGACAATTCATAGCTATTGCAATTATTTATTTAAAGTATTTTTATCCTGCCACTCAAGCCAAAAAAGATCCCTGAGCACAGTATATTTTGATACAAAGCAAAGAAATCCCTGCTCTTTGCTATAATTTGATGGAATATCTGTTGCTAGTAAATGTATAAAATATGACTCTTCTTTTATCAGGCAAAGTGAAGCTGACTATGTCAAGCAATATATTTGGATTAAGAATTTAAAGAACAATCCTACTGGATTTTATTAAACATCCCTCTAGTCCAAATCTTGTTTCCTGGAGTGGTAACTAGATGGCATCCACAGGGATGCGCAAAGTGTTCTATGTGTTCTATGCACAGAAAAGCTGGGTTTGGGTGACTCATGACCAAACCGAAACATGCATATCTCAGCATTTTGGTCAAGGCATGAAACAAAATGGCACTGTTTTCATTTGAGAGACATGGCTGGGAAAGGCAAGGGGGAACCAAAGTCACCAATTGTTATGGGGAAGCAGGAGGGGGGAAGAGAAAGTGCTAGGAAAATTGGGGGAGTGGGTGAGCAGACTGGTAAGGTATGGTACTGGGACATTCATGGCTGAGAGACAGACGGTATTGAGAAGGTGGGAGGGGAAGAGCTATGCTTACTGGAACTGGGAGTGGCTGATGGGGGGAAGATGAGGGTGTATTGGGACACTGGTGGAGAACAGAGGAAGGAAGGTCCTGGGAAGATTGACAGGTGGGCTGGCCAGAAGGATATCATGACATCAGTTGCAATGGTGGCTGTGGATAGAGGGGCAAGATGCTAAGGAGGTGGGCAGGCCAGTGGAATATTCTGCACTGGGCACTGCTGAGGGAAGGAAAGGACAGCAAGAGACACTATATACCAGCCTTCTTCTGTATTCAGATTGTTTCATATGAAACCTGAAACAATAGAAATATTCTGAGTTTCAGTTTTGCAGAACCATGGCTGATCTGAAATGGTTCAGCAGAACCTGTGGAATGTGACAGTTTGTTCCAGATTCAAAACAAAGCATTTCCCCCATTTTATGCACACCATTGGTCATCCAGAAGCCATAACCAAAGGTATCATCTATTCTTCTATTTCTGATCCATGTCATCTTGTATGTACAGAGTCAAAGCATGAAACAGACTCTGTACAGCCATAAGAGTTGTAGAAACCTAAAGATATTTAGGAAATCGCAATATGGTTCATGGGGTCACGAAGAGTCGGACACGACTTAACGACTAAACAAATTTAGGAAATCGCAATATGGTTCATGGGGTCACGAAGAGTCGGACACGACTTAACGACTAAACAAATTTAGGAAATCGCAATATGGTTCATGGGGTCACGAAGAGTCGGACACGACTTAACGACTAAACAAATTTAGGAAATCGCAATATGGTTCATGGGGTCACGAAGAGTCGGACACGACTTAACGACTAAACAACAAAAACAATACTTTAGATATGAGGTTGAATTATTCAGTGGGTCTAAAATAACTGTAGTAAAGCTCAGAGGTAAATCTAACAACTGAGCAGGTGGAAGGAGGAAAAGGAATGGAAGAGTCAGTGTATAGGGAAGAAACAAAAAGAAAAAACATATGTGAGAGAAAAAACTATCACAGGGTCTGAATGTTAGTTCAAGACTCACATCTTTAAATTTTAAAAATCATCCCCCACAATAGAGGTGGACTACCCATAGAAATTGAAGGAGAATCATAGCCCATTTAAACCACGAGGTCTAATCTTCTGCTTAGTGCAGGAATCCAAATCAAAGCATCCCAGACAGAGGTTTATCTAGAGTGCCTGAACACATCCAATGAATAGTTGACTCCATCATATTCAAAATAGCCAGTAAAGATAGTATGGTCAGTGGGCACAGAATGAGAGAAGAACTAGACCTGAGAAAAGAGATATAATATCCCAGCCACTGCATTCTATGGGCTAAGTACCCTCCCCCCAAATCTGCTGAACCTCAACTTTCAACAGTTCTAGCCAACACGGCCAGTAGGGAGAGGTGCTTAAAACTGTAGTTTTAGCAACAATTGCAGGATCACACACTGCCCACCCCATGCTCTAAATGCTTGACATCATAACAGCAATGGATAGCTCTGGATTGATGTATATACCATGGATGGTTCTAGCTTTTTTCAAAGCTGTTCAAATAACAAACCATGCATAACGTTAAATTCAACCATTAAGGAGCCCCTCCAACTTTTTTTTAAAATATCAGGCACATATTTGGGTGGAGGGCAATATTTCTATCAAAACTTTGCTGGAAAGGAAATTATATTGTGATGCAATAGCATAAAAACCAACCCTTTCATCTCCATTACAATAAACAAGTAATTGTAGTTCCATATTTAGCCTTGTCTCCAACTTGGGAAGCACTTTTTTTTTTTAAATACGTACTTTGCCAACAGTCTTGGCAAGCAATTATGAATTAAATCTCCAAGCGCCATCCTTTAACGAACATCTGCAAGGCCTCTTCGTGTTTGGGCTTCTCGGCAGCCCTTCCCACAAACTGGTGTACCTCTACTTGTAGGTCTGGGAGCTGCAGTCCAACAAAGCGAGTAACCCGCGTGCAGAAATCTGGTCTACCGATTTATTGGGGAGAAGAAACTCAAGGTTTTAACGAGCAGAAGATCGCTAAGAGAAACCACCGGAGCGTCCGCTGTTCTCACATGAAACCTGCCAGGGAAGCCTCTGTGGCTGGCTGGGCAAGACCCCAAACGCGGCTGAGTTCAAGGTAGCCGGGTCGATCGGATCCACCTTCCTGGACTGGCGGGCAGCGCAACCCGTTCCTCCTCCTTCCAACTCAAGGACACCGGCTCCGGCTGGTGCAGCTCGGCACCATGGACCCGGTCCCCAAGCTGCAGACCCCCGAAGCCTTGCGCAGAACCGCAGCCGCAGCCAGTTCCCAAGCGCACCCAAAGTCTTCGTCAAGGTACTTGATTTGAAGGACTTACCTGAACGACCCTACTGGCAGCCGCCATCTTGCTGCCCATGATGACACCCCTCCCGGGCAGAGAAAGAGCGCGCCGGGACAAAACGTTGCGAGGACGATGAGGCGGGGTTTAGCTAGGCCCCGCCCTCCATGGAGGGCACGGCTTCTAACTCAACGGAACTGCTGCGAAGTATGCAGAATTTGGCCCGGGAAAGCGTTCCTGGCGGAAATATTGAATGAGGGATTGGCGGGTTGCCAAGGTTTATTTTAATTAACAATGACACTTGTTAAATTTCATTAAAGCAACTGGGTGCAGTACCAGAACTTAATTAATAAGTGATTAGTTATACCTTGTGTTTAAAACTGATTTATTCAGACTTACAGTTACCACGTGGCGAACAATAACTGTATATTTTAAGTATGCAAATTTGTTTTGTTTGCTTAGCACCTCATATTTACACAAAAATTACATTGCAAATACGAGGCTGATTTTTTAGAATATCTGCACACACAGCTATTTACATGATGTACTTCAGCCCACAACAGAATATCTAGTCAGAGTTAAGTCATCTCCAAGCACAATTGACCTTCTCTTTTCATCTGTGGGTGATCCTTAGTCATCTTCTCTGACCTTCAAAGGAGAGGAAAAGTTAGTAGAAGCTGTAGTTATACTTCCAACTCAGATCACCAGAGTACACAAAGCTATTTTTATTTAATTGCAAGCACAGCTTCAGTACCAAAGCACATTTATTGAACCATCAATAGTAAATATTTCATTTTAATACATTTGCAAAATATTCTTACTTTTGGGGGGGGGGCTTTCAAAACATAATTGTTCAACTAAAGGTACCTACATTTGTTAAATTGTATCTTGCATCTAATTCATAACTCTGTCACTAGGCAATGAATTTAGTAATTCCTCCTCCTGCATTCATAGAGTCAGTTCTAATTTGTTCAAAGGCCATGGCATCCCTAACGATAAGGGATAGCCACTGCTATGGCATGTGGCACAGATAACCATCCTACCCTTTCTTAAAAGTCTCTAACAAAGCCAAGTCTATTATCTCCGAAAGCAGGCTGCACCAGTATTTAACAAGTTCTTAAACCCCCCTTTTTTGTATTTTGAACTTTTCTATTGGGCCTTTCTAGTAACAAATAACAAACCTGCTTTGTTTTCTGTGTGACAGCTCTCCAAGTACTTAAAGACTCATTTATTGTCTTAAAATCATTTTTTCCCTAGCATACTCAGCTGCAACCATTTAAGGGAATTCCAGCCCCATACAATTTTTGCCACCCACTCTGGACATAACCCAGTTTGGTACCCTCCTCAAACTGTTGTCCCTAGAACTGTAAATGGTGACATGAACTTCAATTACAATAGCACTGCAGTGTGAATTATCTACCCTTTTGTCCTGTGATTTTTCTTAATAGGTTATTTTAGAATGTAATCTTCAGATTATTATCTATGTATAGTGCATATGCTGTTTACTAAAGGGCATTGAGATAATAGCAGCAGCAGACAATTTATAAATCTGTTGTTGCTGGAGAACAAGATCCTACTGCCATTTTGTATGGACCCTTGTGTGTCTTGGCTCAAAATACTTATTCTTGTCTGGGAATGGGAACAAGAGGAGACATAATAATACAGGACAAATCAATTACACCATTTCTGCAAAAACCTCTATATCAACATTTAGGAGACTACCTGCTATTTAGATATTGTGGAGCCTATTTCTAGTTTTACTATATTACCTATTCATCGGCTATGAAAAACTAGAGAGTTGCCTTCCACAAGAAGTGCTGTAAATCCTACTATGCTATAGTTTTCCTATTGTTGTTGCTAAATAATAGTTTCTTGGGGAAGGGTGAATTGCACAATTCAAAATAATATGTTACAATAAAATTTCCACAGCTTTCCTCTTCCATCAGTTTTCCCCCAATTTCTGCCCCCCCTTGCCTTCTTGGATCTTCATCTTCCCTGTGTTCCTTCCCGTAATGATATGAACCTTTAGCTGAATGCACCGTGGTTGTGACAGAGTATTAGCAAATAATTATCTTTCTAATCCTAATTTTTCCTAGCTACTTTCTTTTTAAGCTGCAAGCTTCATTTCCACAACCAGTAAGAAGCTTAATTGTGCAATCTATTACCACCTCTCCCATCTCCTATTTGTGGGACAATTATTTAACTAGTATTTATCTAATGCAAATTTGCTCCTGGGAAGTTCTAATCTTTTATTTTCCAATGCTTCTCTTAAGCACCTTATCACAAGATTCTACTAACTAGACTAATGTTCCAAGTATTACACTTCATTTGTATTTGAGTTAAAGCGCCCATATGTGATAGTATCATATCCACCAAAACACAGAATAATTTAACAAAGCATTTCAACTAAATGTCTTTAGGCATCTGTTTCCCACAGATATAGAAAAATAGATGATTTCAAATATCTTACAGACTCAAAAATGGCCCTATCAAGAGTGAAAATACTGTTGAAAAATACTCTGCAACATCAACTATAAATATATGGACTACTGATGACTCTTTAAAAATCCATTGAAGTTACACATAAAGCGTTGTAATGAGGGAGTTTAGCAAAAAAATATTAAGTTGCATCTTACTCACATATGCATACATGATATGAAGACAAAGCACAGGTTAAATTGTGAGGAGAGAATGAAGTGGCTACCGTTGTAAACACCTGCTTTTCCAGAAGGCCTACTGCTTTGTTGTCAATAAAAACAGCAATTGGTAACTTTGTGAAAAATTAAGAGAAGGAGATGTGAATTATTTTACAGCTAGATGACACCCCAGGAATAGCTCCTTGCATGCATTTGCAATGACTGTAACAGGAATTTCTCTGTTGTTGCTATATCAATACATACTTTGGCGTGATATATTCTTGTACAGATACACAACTCTTAGTATATGTCCAGTATATTAGAAAAACCTGACAGATTACATTTTCTCCTCTGAATTTGGAAATCACAGATAATGCAGTCATTAACTTGATGTTATTTCAGATTCCAGTCACATTTTTCTCCAGTTGTAGAACAATTGCCTTCAGTGCTGGATCCTTTGCCCAATTGACTCCACTTCCAGTAATAAGGTTCTGCAATAAATATTAAAAAAGCAATTTTTGTTCTGAATCATAATATTGTTTTAATATGCAAATAAATACAAGTTCAACAACAAAATAAGCAATGCAGCAATTGCTTACATTGCATAATACTTTTGTAGATTATATTATGCTTCTACAAGCAAGCTTTTTCAAATGTTTTTCTGCATAAGATTTGTTTATTCTTGGAATATGAATATTGAATAAATTCCATTTATAATCCTAATAATAAAACAGGATAAAAATATGAGTTGCATAAAGAGCTTTGTTCTGCATTATACCAACTTGTACAAGTTATACCTGTGGCTATAATGGTAATTATGGTGGTAATAACTTCAAAGTACAATATTTATCTGTCAGTAAACACTGAAACACTCCAACGTCTACAGGTGGTCCTTGTTTAACAACCACTCACTCATTCAGTGACTGCTCAAATTTACAATGGTGCTGAACAAGTGGTAGTTAAAACCAGTCCTTGTACTTACATCGGTCACAGCGTCCCTGCAGTCACATGATTGTGATGCAGGTGCTTGACACCTGGCTCATATTTACGACATCACAGTATCCCGCAGTCATAATTGCCATTTGCAACCTTCTTTGCCACTTTCTACAAGCAAAGTCAATGGGAAAGCTGGCAGGAGGTCATAAATGGAGATCACGTGACATCCTTACTTAACAATCCATGGTGATTTACTTAACGATGGCAACCAGAAGTGCTGGAATTTCCACCGCTAAGTGGTGTGGCCACTTGACATCGTGCTTTACAACCATGTCACTTAGCAACAAAAATTCTGGTCCCAATTGCCATTGTTGACTGAGGACTACCTGTATTTGATATCAAAGTTTTAATTTACTTTTTTCACATCTAGTACAAACTAGCTCATCTTGCTAAGTAAGACATTTTCCCATCTTCTCAAATACAGCTTACCTGGAAAACGTTTTGAATCAATGTAGTCATCTGAATTTCCTGTTGCAAATTTTTACGAACTTTCTTCAACATTTCACCAACCTCCATATTTTCTAAATCCACTTTTTGTTTTCTCTTCCTATCATGTATTTGTGCCAGTTTACATTCTCCAGCTCGCTTTAATTCTATTTAAATATTGGAGGGAGAGGAGAGAGGGGGAAGAGGGTAAATTAGCTAATTTCCAAAAATGAGTTCAAGAACATGCCTTGTATTCACTATACTCAAAGATTAAAGTAATGAAATGAACGTTTTAAATTAAATTAAATTAAATATGTGTTGTTTCAAATTAATTTATCCCATGGAATGAATATTTTTTTTATCACAACCAATTAAAACTTACCTAGTCTTCTCTGCTTAACCTCATTCAATTTTTCTTCCAGTTCACGGGATTGCTGCAAAACCAAGTAATTTATATTTTTTTGAAAAAAAAAAAAAAAAGTACCCATGCATCCAGATTAGTACAACTACAAAAATTAACTTTTCAAACTATGTTATGCTACTGGCTTCAAATTTTGCTTTTATAGACAGTAATCATTATCATTTTAATATAAAGGATACTCACTTGCTTTGATTTAAGTACTGCTGTACTAAGCATCATGATGTGCTTAATAGTATCCCAGATAAACCTAATGAGAAAATACAGAAAAATCAAGAGGACCCACAGATATGTGAAATTAAATCACGTTAGATAGAAATGTGCTTAATATACATTTTTTAAAAAGAAAAATAGCTTTGAAATAGAAAGATTTAAAACACTGGAGTATCCTACTTCATTTTTCTGAAGCTATGTTTTTCTGTTTACCTATTCTTACTTAACTGCTCTTCTAGCTCCACAAGTTTAAAATGCTTTGCCTGGCAGTATTAAATGCAATAAAGAGGAAAGGGACAAAAGAATTCCAAATGTATATTCAAGATTACCTTAGAAAATGGGAAAACACTGGCCACAACTTTATTGATTTAGCTAACACATGGTTTGGGTGCATTATACAGTAGTATTTGATTCAAATATTGTATGTTGCTACTCTTCCTGCTTGTACTGTTATCTTTCCCCACCCAACTTGCTGAGAACCTCCAGAGATGATTAATTGTAAGGACTCTCCCAGAACTCAGTCACATGCTTGCCAACATGTCCTGAGCTGGTAATTTTTGAATGTTGTATTTTGAAAGCCCTTTAGGTGAAAATGCACTATGAATAAGGCAACCTCAGATTGTGAAGAGCAAAATTCATTTGTGGTCTGAAGAAGTAATAACAAGCAGTGGATTTATATGTTTCCATGCTGCTGATTTCATTCCACATATGGAATGTATTGTATAGTTCCCCATTTGGCATACATTTGATGGGTCCCCTGTTCCATATGTTCTGCCGAACGATATGCCTATGAAGAACGTAGCCACATCTTTCTCTTTAAACGAGGCCAGATAGCACAAAAATGCTCTCTTTCTAAAGTGGGGCCACTTTGGAAATGCAGAAATGTTTCCTAAAATGTTAGGAAGCAGGCCAGAGCCTTAGGTATGTGATCCAAGTGGAAGCTGAAGTGGAATTGACCACTTCATTATCAAAAAGTCCCAGGTTTCCAGGGATCCTCCAGGAATGTATCTGGGTCAGCACAACCTCTAAATTCAGCGATCAAAATTACTCTTCTTCAAAGTGAAGAAGATGCCTGTTTACTGTTATCTGTTGTGTCTGAAAATACAGTATTCATGATCAAGACTTACAATGCAAACTTTTTGATCAGTCTCATAATGCTCTCTGCACATGAGGTCTGTCTATTGATGAGTCTGACAATAGTTTAGCTGTCACACCAGAGTAACACCCATTTGTTCTGGAATTGTGTTCTCCACAACTAGATTGCTAAACAGCCTGCTATTCTGTGTCTTGGCCCATCTCCTAAGATCATAAATCATCCCTGCTTGAAATCTGAATTCTTTTTTATATGTCATTTCAGTTTTCTTTAAACTCTTCCAGATCATACTAAAGTGTGACAGCTCTGGAATGTGTGCATATGTGACCCAGCTACTGGTGCTGTCTTCATGGGAATCTTCACTTCAAGAATTAGATGCACTAATCTCAGTCCAGGTAGCTTGCCCTTTGGTCTATTGCTGCTGCTTCTAATTTGACCTCTCTGTGCAGGAACATACCTGCTAGTTGCTGGAACTGTTCTGGATTAATTTGCAGTTTGCTTCCTATGCAGCTGAGGTTTTTGTAATAATTTGTGTGGTATCTTCCCTTGAGAAGGTGTAACTTCTGCAGTTGCAATCCTATTTGCCTTTATTGATTCTCTCCAGTGTCTGTGTCATTCCCTCAAAGAGAGGTTTGCTCATTGCCTGCTGTGCCCTTTTTGATATTGATCCAGATGAAGGTATGGCCTAGAGTGCTTTGAGTATCCATCTCATCCTGAAAAGCCTCTTTGTTGGTTGATTCTAGATAATTTTGTGATTTACCAAGGATTTCCAGGTGTCTTTGGGGAAAATTATCATGACTTTAGTTGAGATATAGCTACAAAGCAACCTGGAGGAAGCAGATTATTTGAACCTTTTTCAAGTTCAGGTCTAGCATAGATGATCCTTAGCTTTAAACTATTAACCACACAAACAGTATTTGTATGTCTGGCCAAGCAAATATTCTTATCAAATATATACTGTAGACAGATTTTTAAAAATGCATTGCTTTCGTGATTTCAGTGCTTACTTTGAATCATCATCATCTTCATTCTTCAGTTTGGTTCTAAGGGCATCTGCTATTTGGATCCTATAAAACAAAGAGAAGATAGAAATATGTGTTGACATATGTAACGATGTATTTAGAGCATTTACAATACAATACAAGGAAAGATTTGGATACCAAGTATTTTTTCCTCTTCTTATAATAAACATGTAACCAATTTAACATAATGCTGAGCATTGTATGTCAAAGATAAAAAGCAATGTTAAGTAAACAAGCTTTTATTTTAAGTATAAACATGAATACTTTTCAGCAGATTTTAGTACTTCCCCAAAGCTGCTATATTTCAATTTGTAGCTGAACCTTTTCATATATTTTTCATATATAGAGAGAGATATTAGATTTGGAGGATTTATTGTATTTTTTTTATTAACTGGTTCACAGTGGTGACTTAGGAGAGAACCAACACAATCTTGGAAAAAACAACAGGATAAAGTCACCTTTGAGAAGACCTTGACTCCGGGTGTTCTCATGGGCAATCCATGTAGTTTGGCAACAAAACAAAAAAGTCATTCTTCAGGGATTTCTACATCAGAAGGATTACCTGGTGGTCTTCCATCTAAGCATTAACCGGAACCAACTATGAGATCAGCCAAGATTGGCTACGTACTGTTTTCTAATGGGCAGAAATGACAACAGTACTACCTGTTGTAGGCCTGCAATCACATGAAGTTCTCTGACCACTCCATTTACAGCTTACCAGCATCTCAGAATCCTGTTTTGAAATTCAATGTCAATATAGCTGATTTTACTTTTTTTCCCCCCTTGCTCAAACTGATCTCATTTCTACCCTTGATTTCTATCAGGCTACTTGAACCAGGATGCAGCTGAAAATTGCAAACCCCTGACTGTACACAGCTTAATGAGGTTGCTGGGCCTGAACTTCCTGAAGACTCTTAGTCACTTGACATGGCACTGCTAGATAAAAATCTTTATTACAAACTAAAAGACAGTCTTATGGATCAAATGATTGGCCTGTCAACACCTTGTTTAAACCTATTGTTTTTTTCTTCCTGTCTTTTCCACATTTCAGTTGGGCTTCCTAATCTGCACCTGAAGGCCTTAAAGTTGAATGGTTGTTGGTTACTGATGTATAAGTAATATGCCTGTCCTGAGAACCGATGGCTCTTGTCTCTCACCTCATTCTCCTCTTTAAATTTTATTTCTTCCACCCCCAGCCCCCAATGTGTCTGGAAGGACTGGGTTTTACCCCTCCTTCTTCCTGACTCTAAGCAGCAAGAAATGAAGGTGTTTTCCCCCCTTACTCCATTTTTTTTCACTAGAAAGACTTCTACCTTTTCAGAACTTTCTCTCTTTCAGAGGCTGTATCTCTTCATGCAACCCTTCTTCCCAAATCAAATCCCTTCCTACTCAGAGCCAGAACAGCTGGCAGCTGCAGAAACTGAACCAATCAGCCAATCAAGTGATTTAGGCTTGTATAGGTCCTGCAAATAGAACTACCAAAGGAAGTGGAATCCATACACATTGCCTGTGATCCCATAGGAATAGAATACTGCAACTGAATATTGTCAGACTATGTTGTCCCTCTCTCTGACAGCCAACTTATCCAGGCACAACACGTACAACCCCTTCCACGTTGTTTGCACACCCCTGGGGGTTGTGACCACAATTTCAGAAGTCCTGCCCTAACTAGAGACGTACAAGAAAATTTTTAAATACAGAATTGCTTACACACTTAGTCATGAATCCCTTTTTTTTTAGTATGCAGGCAAACTAGAATACAAATTAAATAGATGACGTTTTAAGAGTAACAGGTAGTCCTCAACTTACAACGGCAATTAGGACTGGAATTTCTGTCACTATGCGATGCGTTCATGAAGCGTGACTGCATCGCTTAGTGACAGCAATCCCAGCAGTCCTGGTTGCTGTTGTTATTTGAATCCCATGGTTATTTGGCTAGGCAACTTCCTGCTGGCTTCCCACAACCAAGTCAGTGAGGAAACCGGCAGGAAGTTGCAAGTTCTAGGTGGCTTGCAAGCAGGCCAGCAGGCAGGTAAGTGGCTGCTGCCAGGTGAGGGAGGCATGGCAAGGGTGCACAGGAGGGGCGGCGAGGCTTGGGGAAGGTATGTGGGGGGGCACGAGTGGTGGGGAGGCGCACTGAGGCTCGAAGAGGGTGCACTGGGGTGTGCAAGTGGCCAGTGCAAGCACAGAGGGGCTGGAGGAGGGTGCGCGGGTAGGGGAAACTTACCCCAGCGACTTGGAATCTTTCCTGCTGGCTTCCCATTGACTTTCTGGGGAAGCTGGCAGGGAAGGTTGCAAATGGTGATCACATGTCGGGGCGCTGCAACCGGTCGTAAGTACGAGCCGGATGCCAAGCACCCAGATTGCAATGTGACCGTGGGGGTGCTGGGATGGCTGGAACTCCAAGGAACGGTTGTAACCGCCATTCATTCAACGCCAATGTAACTTTGGTCGCTGAATGAATGGTCGTAAGTGAGGACTACCTGTAAAACATAGCAAAGTTAAAATGATCAAAATGGTTAAAAATATAGCTTTATAACATTCTAGGCATTCAATCCATATGCACACTCCCAATCCTCAAATAAAGGGTGAGAGTTAAGTCTCCTAGTTCACAACCTAGGGATATAAGAAAAAAATGAAAATTGCATAGCTGTTTGCACAAAGCCAGGTCAAACCTGTCATGTAATCCAAATGCTAACCTATTTTTCAACATTTATTCTCCAGAAGGGTTAGTATGAAAAATTTGTATATGCTTAAATGAGAAGTCTAGCTGAATGGACTTGTTTGCTGTATTAATCTATATATTTTATTTTACTTTAAAAACTATGGTTTCTTGCTAGAACTATATTTTTAGTTGGCTGTGTTGGACACATATATTGTAGATGTCATATAGAAATGCTGTAAATAAAGCAGAACAATACCGAGTCTTTACCTTTGTAATGCTAAGGTTTTGTTTTGATACGACACCCTCACCTCTTCCAAGTCTCTTTCCAATTCTTCTATGGAACTAAGAACAACATTGAAGAGAATTTTCTTTAGTAACTTTAATAGCTTGTATTCTCTCAGAAATTAATGTTATGACAGGTCATTTGTTTAATATCAGATCTAAATGGGTTTGCTGTTTTGATAGAGAGATCCAGATGGTTTTCTGTTTTGATATTAGATGTGGATTTTTTTTTGCACATTTCATTGTCAATAGAATATAAAAGAGCAAACTGAAATGTAATGCTAATGTACTTAAGATACATTAATTCAGAAACCAATTTTCCTTTTTTAATAGAATTTCTGTGACAACAATATAGGAAAAGGATATTCTAAGATTACATGTAAGCCTGTGATTTGGTATGCGCATACTGAAAAAGGAAACATAAACTTGTTGAGATTCCTTAAACTATGAAAATAGGATGGGATTCAGCAAAATTAGTGAACAGCTATAAGGCATTAATGCAAGAAGTAGCTTGTTGCTTCTCATGACCAGAAAAGGCACATGCTATACATCAGCCATAGTAGTTAGCTGAGGGAAAAAAACTGCACATCCAACATGCATTACTCTTAGATACACTTTCTAAGAAAAAAATCCCACTTAAGTAGATGTGGCATGTTTTCAAGTATAACAAAAGAAAGTGAATACATTGGAATCTTTGAAATACAAGTTTCCTTAAAAATAAATAAAGAAAACTTAGCAGATCAATTCTAATATTCAAGTGTATGAGAAACCGGAACATATTCTCATGCTATATATGGTAACAAGTTTTGAAAACATACCCCTCTAAGATTTTTTCGTCTATAACTTGATCTGGAATGTTTTCTTCATCTGCTAAACAAAAAAAGATATATGTATAAAAGGTAGCTAAACAATCCTCCCATCTCTCAAGATAAATATGACATAGAAAACAGTTTCAGAATGTAATTTCCATAAACTCCTATGCTACAGAGATAAGGCAGTCAAAAGACTTGATATTGATGTTTATATTCCAAAAAATGAGCATGTTTGTTGTTTTAATCTTACTAGAAGGTTTAACCTAATTTTTAATACTTGTTTTCACATTCTAATATAACAAAGCTTATGCTTTTATAATGATACTTACCTGAATTGATTATTGTATTATATTCCATAAGATGCTGACTTATTTGTTCCTTGATTCTATAAAATAATCAAAACACACAGACACAAGAAAATCAGAAAATGAAAGTGCTGTTGTAGCAGTTCACTGCAAGAGTGAACTACATTACTGTGTTCACTGATGATTTTTTTTTAAAGAACTTAGTTTGTTAACATTTAAAATCCCCTAAATTTAAATTAGGACAAATTATAAAAACAACCCCAATATTAAAACAATTTCTTCCATTTACAAAGTTGTTCACAGTTTTAAGTTTTTCCTTTTGTAGGTTTTTTTTTTTTTTTTTGCTGTTGCTGCAGCCCCACTTCACAGGCCATCAGCTTTTAGAGATCTCAGGAGCAGCTTTTGTTAGAGACCTGTGAACACTGCCTGACAGAAGCACTGGAAACATGATATACAAAACTCTTATCTCCAGTCCTCTTGCTAGTATTTCTGCTTCCCTAAGTTCAGAATAGTGATTTTCCAGGGAAACAGTACTTCTGGTCCTGAAGGCTTATGTTCAACAATATTCTTCACAGGCAAACTCAGTTCCTCAGTTTCTTGAATCAGTGGAAAAGTGTGCCGGCATAGTTAGTGCTGCCCTGACAGACCAGCTTTAATCTGCCTCCACCTTCAGGCCTGCGACTAGATAGCTCCGTCCTTACAATTTAAGGCCAGCCATTGCGGGATTCCCCGCCTATCAAGGCCTTTTCTTCGTGTGATACCACTGCGAGGATTCCCAGATCTGGACTGCAAAACTCCAGACCACCATTAGATGGAAGCCAAGAGCTAAGCGGGTTTTTTATCTCCGTGTAGGGGCCGTCCGGAATTTTGCTGCCGCCTCGGAGCAGCCCTAGAATGGCCTCTTGAGGGAAGAAGCCATCGAAGGGCGGTAAGCCCGACAACGACTGACCGAAAGAGCGTGAGCAAGTCCGGCGTCTTCTCCTTCTCTTCCCTGACAAGCAAACCGGCCCCTTCCTCCGTCGCTCCTTCCGTGAAAGCCGCCGCCGACGTTGCCTTGTCTCCTGTCTCGGGGCAGCCCGCTACGTCCCGCGCTTCCATCCCGGCAACGACACCAGCTATCCGAGCGCTGCCACGGCCGCTGCGCCGAGGGCCGCCCTTTCAAACAGCCCGCCGACTCCGCGTTACATCAGCGGAGTATCGTCAGATCGGCGCTGGATTGCTCCGGTCTAAGCGGCCTGCTCTCAGTCGAAAGGGAAACAACGGCGCTCTTTACGCAGGCCACGTGGGAAAAACGCACAAAGATGCCGTCGGCCCCACCCCCGGGAGCCTGTGAAACACTTAAGGGAGCCTCCCATTGGGCGGGGACGCCCAGGCGGGGGGGGGGGGGGGGGGGGG